ATCATGTCCGAGAATTCGATCATTTACCTTAGTATGTTAACCACGCTAGGATGGACGATGCAAGGGATTGCAACGAGCATACAAAAGTAGATATCTTCCGCTGACAGAATGGCTTTGCGTGCTTCTATATCGCGAATCTCGCGGTGTTATTCAGGTGCTGCGCATAATCGTTACTTCGAAGTATTCATCAAATTAACGATGTTTACCACAACCACTACACGAGCGACTTTGGCCTTCTATAACCAAGTCGGTTGTATGTTCAACCAACTGGGTTGAATGTTGGCCATGTCGCTTTCATTATGGCACGCACAAGCTTGACTTAATTCCGCAAGTACGGTTTAATGAAGTCTTGAGCATCGCTGGTGCGTTCATAGATACCTGGCGTGCCGGCCAGACCACAATCAACGCCCGATCTGACCACCCCCACCAAACGCACGGCACCGTTTTCTTCGATGGTCAACGGTCCCCCAGAGTCACCGACACATGAGTTTTCTTCTTCCGTCCCTGCGATCAACATCGTATCGGTCACGGTCACTCTAAAGGGGTACAACGCAGCCGAGGCCCTGAGGTTGGTCCATGCCGTGACGTTGACCTCCTTGAGCACTTGCGATGGGGGGCCATTATGCCTGACCTTTCCCCAGCCGCGTACCCAAGCTTTATCGCCCCCCCAAACGTAGCGAAACGACACCGCCACAGGTTGGGTGATCGAGATGTCGTGGTCCAAGATTATGATGCCCACGTCGGTGCCATCAGGGTGTTTGATTTTCTGGGTCACATTGGCCAGTTCCCCGTCGGCAGAACCGGATAAATAGTGCGTGCCCACCACCACATGACGTAGATGCTCGTCCAAACAATGAGCCGCTGTCAAAACAACATTGGGGGCGATCAGACTGCCGCCGCACACGGAGTTACCATTGGGTGACTCCTTGAGCCCAGCCACATAACGGTGCTTGCCGAGTTGGGCTTCCTGGCCCCCGACGATTTCGAAACCATCGTAAGGGGCCTCATCGCCCCAAGCGACTTTGGCTGGGACAACTTGGTCTTGAGCCAAAGCAGCGACGGTCACGGGGAAAGCGAGAAGGAGTGCGAACTTCATGATGGAAATTGGAAAATGAATGGTCTTTCATCTAGAGCCAAGTCAATCCAATCGTTAACGTCAGACTGTGATTGAACTACCAAGTACCAAGGTTAAACAAATGGATGGTTGGGATGCGTACGTCATACATACATGCACCCACGTTGCTCATGTCCTCTTGTCATTAAGAGTCACGTTAAGTCACTTTAGCGTCATAAATATCCAACAGCGTGGCCGACATTCATTCTTGCGAGAAACCTGCTACTGTATCGCACTTTCAAAGGACGAAGGATCCACATAAAGACAGTAAAGTAACACTTGCAGTACGGTGGGTTGACACTGTACTCTGCGCACATACGATCGTACTATCCCCATACGCGTGCCTCCTTCGTGGTTGTTGGACACTCGGTCGCTCCCACAACTGTTTTATGACGCCAAAAGATGCTTTTATGTATGAGCGCAGTTCCATGACAACTTGGTTCCGTGCCACAATACGTGATTGGTAGAAAGCAATCACTCCGAAATTTTCAACCAATAACCTGCAATATCATTTGCGATTTGAGAGGTAACTAGATAAAATTAAGTGCCTCGAAACTGTTTTTAGTCTATGGATATTTTCACTCTTTTAGTTTACTCCAGGAGTATTTTACATCAACACCAATGGCATGATTTAAGTCTACGAACTGGATTAATTTTCCTCTTTAAGAAACAATATTGTATTAGCAATTTGGAGTAAAGGAACCCCTCCATAGAAGAGCCCCAAAAAGTGTCACGGAACCATGCCCATACGTATAATTCAGACCTTTAGCAAAATATAAGGCCGAACCTTTCTGGTCCCATACGTATAATTCAAACCTTTAGCAAAATAAAAGGCTGAACCCTTCTGGTATGCCAAAAACGTGAACTGTACAGCTGTCATAGATGTTGAACCTGTAGTACATATGTCAATGAGATGATTTCTTTTACTCATGCCCATATGTACAATACAGCACTACTTATAGCAAAATAAAAGGCCGAACCTTTCTGATATGCGTCAAAAACGTGAACTGTACAGCTGTCATAGATGTTCAACTTGCAGTACATATGTCAATGAGATGATTTATTTTACTCATGACTCATGAGGGAGGGTTAGATTATTGACATCGACATGTATTTCTCGCATTTCTCGCAAGGATGCAGTTGAGCAGTTTTTGCAGTACGGATTGAACGACGAAGTACATGTATCTTGGTTGATAACATTACAAGGACAATTCTCCTCGTTAAGAAACATTATTATATTAGCAATTTGGAGTAAAGGAACCCCTCCATAGAAGATTCCCAAAAGGTGTCACGGAACCATCTAAACTACTCTTCTCATTAAAGTAGCTTTTTAAGCTCGCGTTTGTAAGTGTCAAAAATTGTCTTTTGGTTTTAACTATGGTGATACTTCAAATGACGTTGTTTTTTAAATGAAATCTGATTAGCTTGATGCGAACTTTTCTACTTTTGGCTCGGATTTCCAGCTAACACTTTTCAAATGCCCTGCCACACTTTTGATCAGAAAACGCCAAATTTAATGATGCGTTTACAGAAATCACGACCAAAGAGTCAATGTTATCATGTATGAAGGAAAAGGGTTAGTAGACAACGTTTCAAGAAACGGCGACGAGGTTATGGAAGTGACACAGTCGTGGTGTCGTTTCCTTAAAAATGCCAAGTCATTTGGTCGTGTGGGAGGAACGGCACTCCCACTTCATCGATATACTGAAACCAAGTAGAAATGTCCACTGACCTGCCATGTGTTTGTTTCGAAACGCTTCTCTCACACACTGTACGGTGCGAGTACTGTACACATACAAGTAGCCAGATATATTTTGTCCAGAGCAGTCAGAAAACTCAGTTTTCAACAGGAAAACACAATAGCTAAGACGCAACTATTCTATTCGGTCAATTATTGTTGTTGTGTGACATGTGATCGGAGGAATACGAAATTCACTATCATCATGATATCTCACCCATTGCAATTCACTAACCTGCAATATTACGTCCCATTAAGTCAGAAAACACTACTTTCAATACGCAAAACATAAACAAAGACACAACTATTCCATTGGTTATATATTGGTGTATAATTAGACTGTCGTGGCCCCACAAATTCTGGCATGGCGTCATTGGAGAATTGTGTTGGAGGATGCAAGGTACGTTCATGTCATGCATGTTCTGCTCGGTGTTCACAACAATAAGCAGCAACAAAAACTACATATCTTGCTCCAACCGGCAATTAACACCGGCGGCAGAGCAACGGGTTCACCTAGTGCCCATACGTTAGAAAATACAAGGCCGAATCTTTCTGGTTGGCGTCAAAAACTGTACAGCTGTCATAGATGTCGACACTGAGGATATACAGTGCTTTGCGGAGAAACTCGGTCAGTGCAACACTTCAAAAATAATATAGATTTCAATTGTGGCTAAGTAGGTTACTATCACGTAATTGGACAAATATAATTTTAAGCAATAGAACCAATCAGAACTCGCCTCAATGTGATTGGCTCGATTCAAATGTTTGAATCAAATTTGATTGTCATTCCAAGAATGGACAACCGAGGTCGACAGCACCATCGGTACTCCAACGGTCAACGAAAGGAGCTCCTAGCGGAGTTCCATGCGTCTGACGCAACCAGCGAGCGCCAGTTCTGTCGTGCAAAGCACCTCCCGTACTCGACTTGGCAAGGCTGGCGATCGAAGGAAGACAAGATCATGGCAAACAAGAGGCACAACCGCTGCGCCACGATGGGCGGTCAGGGAGCCAAGGAGATCATTCCATTCAAGGATGACCTGTTGGCATTCATGCGTGGCCGACGCGACGAAGAACGCTACGTCCGCGTGTTCCACCTCATGCAATGGGTCAAACAGTACCAGAAGGATTGGCTAGTGCAGTACTTGGCGAGCAAAAAATGCGAGGCGGTGGCGTTCAATTCGTTCCGATCCTTGCTGCTACGCTTTGCCGAGCGACATCGATTTCGCCACCCAACGAGTGCTAGACGAAGTGTGGTTGGGATACGCCGCGTCGTTTTGGAGCAAGTACGCCCAGTACGACCGAAGCCAACTGTTGAACGTCGATGAAACCGGCGTGTACTTTGACATGCCCCGGGGAAGACATTGGCCGAAATTGGCAAGTCAAGCAAGGTAGCGAACGGCGAGAAGCATTCAGATCGGCTGACCGCTGTCCTGACAATTCGAGCAGACGGTAAGATAGTTTCAAATATATGTTGCTTAATTAAATTGTAGGTGTGAAGTTGCCGTTGCTTTTTATCCTCAAAGGACAGCCTGGTGGCGTGATTGACAAGAAGGAGCTTTCAACGTATCCTGCCGGCCATTTCTATGCTGTCCAAAAGAACGCATGGATGGACGAGCGC